TTTTCCCTCATTACGTTAGAATATGGCTGCAGATGAAGACAATTTGCCCTCCGAATTGAATAGGCCTAGCTGTGTCACATTAAACCTCATGACAAACACTGGGACATTAACAGGCAAAGGTTCTTCTCAGGCAACGGAAAAACCTTGGCACAGCCCTTATGTGAAATAAAGACATCAGAGCAGCATAGTTTGTTTCTGCCCCGTTGAGAACACATGATGTGGTGCCAGGCCTGGCTCAGAGACCGCACTCCGCCAGGGATGTAAACAGACAGCACTGGCTGGCCCCGAGCAGGCCACCCAATGCTGGAGAGGGCAGATCACTGACTTGATCTGGTGTTTATGCAAGCTGAACTGTGGTTAATACCGCTGTGCCACTCCAATCGTAGTAAGGTAGAACGTAGATTTCTAATTTGTTTGTTGGGTGAATCATTTCCACCTGTCAGCTGCAGTACGTGTTACAATTTAAAGCCAAGTAAAGGTGTAGACTTTTTATGTGATTTATAGTAGCTTTCATTTGACTGTGATTTTGTCACAAACATTATTTCATGTTGTTTGTAGTAGCGAGAGATAATATTGGTGAAACTATACGTGGTGTTTTCAGCGACCGGATCTTAGGGTCCTCCTTATTCACAGAGAAGGGGGGACTGACTGTAAGCAGTTAGACAAAAAAGTCTTATCTCAAGGTGTGCTTACTTGGTTTTTATGGAGCTTTCATCCATACTGGTCGTGGCCTTCATCAATGGATGGAGTTTAATTTTGTTGAGGTTTTAGTTAAAGGGGAAGGACTGTTTACAGGTCTTGAGGAGTACCACTGCATATGTGAAAAAGGTTGTATAAAGCCTTTTGTGGCTCCAGAAGGATCTGTGTGAAGTCTGATAAATGAATGAATAAATCAAAGTGTTGGGGTTAAAGACTATGAAAATGAAAGAAATCTGGGGGTGAGCTCACCATGTTATCTGTAGCCCGCTCCTCATCTCTTCTTGAGGCTAGCGGCTCAAGGTTACATTAGCTGCTACGAGTGTAACATACCCAATTCTCCAACCAAACTGCTGTCAGTATAATATAAAATGCTGTTGGTGTACACTGTTGTCTCTCAAACTAAGACTTAAAGGAGCAAATGTGAAGCAAATTAGGTTTGGGGGTGATACAGTTTGTGATACAGTTTGGTTTGATTGGTGTCGGTGGCATGTGCAACGTCCTTTTTGAAGGAAAAGATCAGTTACATTTATTTATTGTATCATAAATGCAACAACAGTATGGTGTGATAATTAGTACATTGTACTTTCTGTATGGATTTGAGACATAGCTAGAGTGTATTTTTATGATTTACTGGTAAATTTTCTACACATAGTGACTTTAAGTTTAAGTTACTTTTTTTTTTTTCAGGGTGCTGGTATTGTTCAGGGTGGCTCACTGTCATGGCCTAGACTAAGTAGTAATTTTTCACATTGTATTGACACTTTTATGTCACGGTGGGTCACCATAGCTGAATGGATGTAAGAAACCTTGATAAGTCATAAGTTATGGGTTGTCTGTGCTCAGTGCAAACCTGCTGGTGTGCCTTTGTGACCTCACAGTGGCCCTTTCTGGATCTGTGCCCTTCTCCACACCAGGTTCCATTCTGTTTCACAAAACACAGCGAAACGTTGTCCGTGTTTGCTGACACCCTCCGTCACAACCAAAGCGGCGCTAAATGTAGAAGCAGACTATTGCGGTCTGAACGTTGTTTTTTATTTTTCAGTGATGACGTCTTCACTGTGTAATTCTGAGCCACAGTCATTTCCGATGTTGCAACGTAGTGTTTAATCACGTGTCAAGTTGCACCTCATGAGGATGGGTGTTTACCTAACCGCAGTGATGTCTGTTTCAGTTCTGACCATAACAAATATGGAGATGTTGAAACCCTTGTGCTGTCGGTCCTTTTAACTGTCTTGTTAGCGTCAGAGCTTAAAGGTTAAATATATCTCCTATTATTCATGTAATGAGATCTCTCAGGCCCCTTCCGGGTCTGTGGCTCAGTAGTGGCGTATGGCTCAGCTACCACATTGTGGTATTAACAATATTAATAACAAGATATAATAAGGCCAAAGCAGCAGTCATTGGAGAAATATTTATAAAATATGATTGAACTGTTGGAGACTGTCTTTGTTTGTGTTTGTGTGTGTGTGTGTTGGACCACAAGAGCGGGCTTCCCTGCATTTATTGCCACGATTAGAGGACATGAGGGCTCAGTGCCTCGTAGGGAACTTTTGAACCCCAGGTAAAGCAAATTCCCACATGTCAAAGATCCAGCTTCTTTACTTTCTTTTTTTCGGCTCCTATTTGACCGCACCCCATTTAGGCCCATGCACGTACTACAATTACTGTTCTGATGAAACAGGGGAAAGGCTGTTGCACCAGAGCTGGAAGCCAGATCAAAGGGATGTGTTCATTTTTTATTTACCCTCTTTCTGACCGTCATACTATGGCCTTTTGAATACCACCAATGGTTCTGTGGGACATTGTTTACTCTCAACTGCATGATTCAATGTGCAGAAAAACACACACATACTGTACACACATACATACACACAATTAAATCTGTACAAAGATCTTTTTAAAATACATGTTTTGGGTAGTGAGATATTTGTGTATATGTTTATTTACAGATCTCCGCAGTACACATTGGATAAAATTCCACAAATGTGTAAAAAGGAACTTACAAATGTAACGTGACCCACAAATTGACAGGAAGCAATCCGCAAATGTGTAAAAACAGTTTTGTGTGTAGAAATGGATCCACAAATGCGTAAATCACACATTGTATGTGAAATAAAAAGATCTTTGTACAGATTTAATTGTGTGTATTTGCAAATCGTGTGATATTTCTGTATATATATTTTTTTACAGATCTCCGCAGTACACATTGGACATAATTACACAGATGTGTAAAAATGAAGTTACAAATGTAATATGATCCACAAATTCACACGAAGTAATCTGCAAATGTGTAAAAACAGTTTGGTGTGTACGCATCACTCTGTATTTTTGTGGATATGATTTTATACATCACAAATGTAAAAATACACATTTGCAGATAGTGAAATATTTGCGCATCATTGTACACATTTGTAGATTGTCTTCTGTGGGTTACAAATATTAAAGTCCAACTAAATCTTCCATATTAATTCATGTTCTGCAGTGTGCTTTGAGGAATAAGGATTATAAATGTAGGTGCTACTGCTTATGCTTCTGACATTTTGAGTAGACAAAGGAAAAGTCTGTTTCTTCCTTACCAAGCATTGACTTTCTCTGTTGAAGTGTTGAAGTGATCAATGCTGCCACTCCACAAAAGAGGTTTCACATTAACTTGATTAATGGCTAAACTGAGTGATGCTTTTACCTGAATTTCTTTTGTGAGCGCGCGCGTGTGTGTGTGTGCGCGCTCCTTCCTGCCCTGGGCTGCGAGCGGTAGGCTAGAAATCACTATTTAGTGTTGTGTTTGACCCGGTGATTAGGTGTTTAAATTTGTGTCTCCTCCTCATTAAGCGTTGGCAGATGCCAGATGCTTTGAGAGCATGTGATGAGATATTGATGAAAGGACTGCTATTTGTTTTCTCGCTGTCTTCTGGTGATGCTCATGGGAAAAAAGTGTTTCTGGGCTTTTGCAGAGCATGCTGATAACAAAAAAAACACAGAAAAACCTACACTCAAAGACCACTTCAGGTCAACCCAGACCCGGTGGTAGTACATACATAAAGTAACACACACACAAACACACACACCCCAAAGCACATAATGACTACAGCTTGTGGAAAGACATTATCTCTATACTTTTAATGTGCGTCAAAGTGCTAGCAAGCTATTAGTGAACATTATTCACGTTTTGAAATCATAACCATCAGCCAGCCACCATACACCTAAATGCTCATCATGACATAATTCACTCTTAACAACTTGTCCTTTGTTTTGTTTTTTTAAATAAATATGGAGAATCTGATATAGCACTAGTGTTGCAGGAGGTTTTTGCATATCAGACTTTTAGAGTAGCTCTCGGCTTGCTATCACTATTGTGCACTGAATGACTATCCTTTCACATACTTTTGATTCTATAGCTTTACTTGGTCTGGTATGACCAGCAGCTCACGGTGGCAAATGTTAGCAAAGTTTTGATAGATATTTTATTGCTCTGTAGACATAATTGAGTTAGTCGACTCAAACACAGCTAAGAGAGCTAATTTACCATTACTCTTTAATTGTGGTAATTGGCTACATCACAGTTTTTGTCAAGAAAATGTTACATGTGATCTCTTTAATCATTGTTTTAAGATATATATATATATATATATATATCATGACTTCTGGTATGTAATCGTTGTGATGAGACCACAGAGAATTATTAGACTCATGTAAGTTAATGAAGGTTAATAATATAATAATAAAAAAAACTGTGCTCTTCGACCCCTATCTGTCTGTTGCCTTGTGCTAATTACTGGTCAAAAGTTGACTGATGTGCCACCATGCTTGTTCAGATTTTTTTTTTGCACGTGTAGCTGCTGCCCCACCCGTCTTCTGTCATTCTTTTCAATCTTTCAATCAAATAATTTAAACACTCTCCAACATTAGAAATAAGTTTAGATCAGGCCACAGATTCATGGTGCTGCCTTCAGATTCCTGCTAACACACTTTTTAGTCAGTGTGTGGCATCCAGAGTCAGGTGGAAAAGTAGCAGGAAGAGCTGTACTTTAGTCTGTATTGTGAGGCCTGAGGCTCAGTGCATGACTGCCACCTAGTGATGTGTTAAGACACTAAATTAACTGGTATGGTTTTATATATGTACATGAACTTTCCACTGTATAAGTGACCTCTGAAGGAGTGGTGTGCTCTGTTTCCTACTGAATATGTCATTTTTATCCCTTATTCAGATCAAGCAAGACTATCCTAAACATGTCCTAGTATGACACCTTGCTGAGTGTGTGTGAGTTTTTAACTGTTGTCTCTCCTGTGTGGTCTCTTTTCAGGCTCGCATGGCACTGGATAAAGGAGCTCAGGCTGTTATCTTTGATGTCAGTGATGATGCCAATGCTGCTGCTGAGGTGAGTGTGCAGGCGCCGCAGTAGTTATGTCAATTCATAAAATATGTGAGACAAAAGCACACAGAAATTGTCCCACTCATATTTCTGTGTCTTTGTCTTCTTGTTTTGATTACCATCCTTTGCACAACACACACACACACACAGCTGCGAGAAACAGACTCCCTTCCCCGTCCAGTCGTCCTGGTGGAGGCAGAGGATGCTGAGGAGTTGATGGGTTTGGTCAACAAGAACGAGGAGGCCAAAGTTCGGATTGAGATCATGGAGCAGCCCAGATGGGTAAGCAGTGGAACACACACACACACACACACACACACACATATCTGACTTTCCTTTCATTGGCTAGAAGAAGAGCAACCCTTCTGGGAAATAGAAGGACTGAAAGGAAGTCGTATGAAAGCTCCACTCAAAAGGACCATACAGTGTAGAGAGGAGAGGGTGGGAGACAGATGTGGATTATGATACCCATGGGCCCATGGACATGAACACTGCACGGGTTCCCTCAGCCTCACCAAAGTCTTCAAAACATTTACAAGTTGTGAAAGACCGAGTCACTGATTTACGATATGGCTGCTATGCCTTATACTTTGATATGAATTTCTGACAGGATTTCTTGTTTCTTTAGGTACATAATGTTTAAATGTAAGATAATTTAGTTTGGTTATGAAATTCTCTTCTTTCCTCTTCTTAGCCACATTATGATGTGGGCATCCTGCTCACCATCGTCCTCGCTATTCTGACCATTGTCCTAATCTTCGCCTTCCGCTACAAGTGCAAGTCCAACAGAACCTGGGTGAGTGAAAAAAACAACATTTGTAGAAGTTTAAAGCTTATTGAAACAAGGGTGTAAATTTGTTCATATTCAGTTTGGATCCTCAGCTCAGCTGATCTTTTTATAACCCTTGCTTCTTGTGCACGCAGGATTCTGTCCATCAGCAGACCATGCGGGCCATCAGTCGATTGGAGACCAAAACCTACAACTCCCAGGGCTGCTCAGGCTCTCAGCGCCACCGCGCGGCCTGGGGGTCAGCCAGCAGCTCAAACTCGAGCCCTGTCTGTGCTATCTGCCTGGAGGAGTTCCAGGACGGGCAGGTAAGAGGAGAAAGAGCGAGGAACATACTGTGTCTGTAGGTTTATCTGTCCTTGCCACCTCTTTAATCTACTGCTGTCTCATTTTTATCCCAGCATTTGAGGATCATCTCCTGTGCTCATGAGTTCCACAAAGACTGCGTCGACCCCTGGCTGCTACAGCACCGCACCTGTCCCCTCTGCATGCACAACATCATGGGTGAGGAAAGGCGTAAAAGTGAAGGAATTTCTTTTTTCTTCTACTTAAACATGTTAAGATTGTTATGAAGTTTTTTTTCAGTAATCGCAAAGACCATTCAAAATCAAGACCTTTTTTTTTTTACCACCTGGAAACCCGTGGATGACTTTTTCCATTCTGTGACCGTTGTCAAAGTCCACAATGCAAACTCCTTTTTGAATCTTCTATGATAAGTGCTCTTTAAATAGAAGTTACTGGTAGTAATTACAACCCTGCAATATTCTGTATGTTCTGACTGCTGCTGTGGTCCACAGGGATGGAGCGACAGCCCCAGAGGAACAGACTCCAGCAGAGTCCAGAGCAAAGCCAGGGTTTCCTGCACGCTCAGCCTTACAGCAGCCCTCGCAACCACCCTTTCCCCCAGCATGCCATCCCCTTCTCTATGAGGCCCCACTATCCTCGTGGACCCTCTGGACCCTATCCCTCTCTGGGCCACTACACTGGCTCTTCTCCCAGAGACACCCAAACTCTGCGTTTCCTCACCAGCAGGCCACTTGGCTCCGGCTGTGGGTACCACCTTCCTGCAGAGGTTCCCGGAAGGCCCCACAGAATTGGAGGTAACTGTAGGACTTCCACCAACCATTACACGCCCCGTCGGTCCTGTCACAACTATCGCTCATCCTGTCCAGCCCAGCGCAGTGTGTCTAGCTCAAGACTGCACCACACTGCCAATGTCACACCACAGCCCCGCGGAGCGCCAGCCCACAGCCGGCAAGACGATGGCAGCTGCTCCGGTGGCAGCTACCACACAGAACGCAGCGGATACTTGGCTGACGGGCCAGCGAGTGACTCCAGCTCAGGGCCATGCCATGGCTCCTCCAGCGACTCAGTTCTCAACTGTACTGACGTGTCCCTGCAGGGGGTTTATGGCAGCTGGTCCACCTTCCGTAGCTCTCTCAGCAGTGACTACGATCCGTTTGTGTATTATGGGCCAGGTTCTGGGCACGCCCCCCGCAGGAACAGCCTGGAGGCTTGTGCCCAGTCCCGGCCCAGATCTCTAGATTCTGTTGTGAACAAAGCGGGCTGCCCTGAAGAACAGCCGCAGACTGTGTTCAGCCACATCCACTTCCACCGTCACAGACACCACCACTATGAGGAGGGGGAGCATAGCCAGGGCCTGAGCAGAGGCTCAGACGAGGAGCAGGGGGCAGCTGCTGCAGCTGCACCCGCTCCTCTTGTGCTGGACAAAGACTCACCTGTGTGCCCTCCTAAGCACAGTTCCTGCCAGTGCCCAAAGCCAGATCCCACAGATCGGCCCTGTCCTGGGAAAGAGTGTCTGGACCATGACCCCAGTAGCCCTATAGGACCACCTGTCCTGGTGTCCCCAATCCCCTTACAACTTCAACCCCACTGCTGCCACCAGGGACATGGACACCCTCCCGCTCCTCTTGGGCGAGTGGGTGGCTGTGTGCATGATGGCCCTTCTGTTCGCTTCCACCAGAGCTTAGATCTGCAGGACGACAGAAGCATCCACATCCACTACGGTCAGGGCCCGGGCTTCTGCTGCTCTCCTCCTGAGTTGCACCCTGCCTTGCTTCCTGTGCCCCTAATTCTGGACTCTGGAGGTATGGAGGACTGGCCTTACTGTGCCCGGAGCCCATGTTGTGTGGCAAAAGCGGGTGCAGCAGGCCCACTCAGAGCCTCAGCTCTTGGGGCCTGGGACCTCTATGGACAGGCCACCCTGCAGGTTCCACCACGGCCCTGCTGCTGACCGCAACACAGACATTTGTTTGTACTGCCAAACATTACACCACAATCAGGGTGGGTGTTTCACTTGTTTATCTTTGAAAACATGACCAGCCATTTGATCTTAAATATTAAAAGTAATATTCTCAGTTTATTAATCTCATAGTTTTGCCCATCATTTCTGTTGGTTGTGATAATGCTGTACCCAAGTCAGACTGAGCAAGAAACATAAGCAGTCTGACGACTGCTGCTGTGTTCTCAGATCTCAGCCAGTGATTTGGTGAGAACACTGTTTTTATTCCCAATAACAATGATGGAGAAGATACAAAAATAAGCCCTGGGGAAAAAAATGGAATGATCTATTTGGACTTTGCGTAACATTTTTATTTATTTATTTATTTATTTTTACTTTGTGTTTTTTATTATATTTTGAAGGTGACTTGAGCTGTTTTTGTATCCACAGGATCAGAAGAGGAGTCTGGTGTGTGAGAACTTGTTGCATCCCAATTATCACGCTGCTACACAGAAGCCAGAATGGACAAGCCTCTCACTGGCTTTCGCTCTCATGTCTTCCACATAATTCCACCAGCAATGCCTTCGCTCGGACGATTCCCCAGCTTCTCCCAAGATTCAAAGCTCACATGCTGAAATGCTCCTTCAGCTGAGTTAGATTGAGTTAGTTATGTTATTATTAAAACTGAAATTATTGTGAATAAATTAAGCTAAAACTTTCATTGAGAATAATGCCAAACCCTTCATAATATTGTACATCAAAATATATTGAATGATTGAAATGTTTGGAGACGGGGAGTTGCTGGGGAATACTTTTTCTGTCTTTCTCCTTGTCAGTTATAGGAAGAATATTCATTACCAACATGATACCATGATACCACAAGTTCCCATGCTCCTTAGTGACAACTAACGAATGATCCTTGCTTAGGGTGTTGAGCCCTCATGAAGTGAGACTCCTTCACTGCATTTCTTGCTCTATTACAAAAGAACTTGATTTATCTTAGAGGTACTTACTGTCACTTGCGTGATCTTTCTCTTCCTTCGCTGAGTCCAGTCTCAGCTGAGAGAAGCTTTTCTCTCCAGCCTACCTCAGCTCAGATTTCTTAACACGCCTAACACAGGGGGTCTTTAAAGGTACTGCTGTAGTGTTGGTTTTTTTTGTCAAAACCATGTAGCTCCCATAAACTCAACAAAACGTTAGACCTGTCCAAATGGAGAGAAAGGTTGATGCTCAGCCCCTCAAACAACGAGCATTCACTGAGGTTGCTGAGCCTTGCATGGGCCTTGTTTTCATTATTTCATTGATGGCAGCTGTTTTCAAAATGTTTGTTTGTGTTGTTAGATCATTTTCTGTTTCTTTTCTTTTTTTTTTCACTTTTTAAAATGAACCAGTTTGACTGAATTATGTTGTCATTACAAGCTATTTTCTTGTCATTTCTCTTGCCAGTGGTCACTTCACATGTTTGACCTCAGTGCTGTTTAAACCCCCTGATCAGTGCAAAGTGAACAGGCCTCATCAGAAGGATGACATATCCTCTGCACCTTTAATGGGTAATTCACCCCCCCCCCCCCCGTTGTCCTTCAGCAACTAAACCTCTAGAACAATGTTCTACATTGCTGCCACAGAAAAGAGATAGTGAGTATTTAATGATATACCTGGAGTAAAGCCATGCTAGGTAGACCTTACAGTCCCAAGCATCAGCGCTGTCGGTTGCAGTAGCACCCGTTTGATGAAAGCTTGGTGGGCTTTTCCCATGATTTCCAACTGTAATGGCTACAATCTGAGAAATATCTCAGGAACAATCAAACACTGGAAAAATGAGAAGAATTCATCTTTGTTACAGTAATGAGACCCAAATTGATGAAAAATCCTATCTTGGTGAATGTGCCTTGCCAGTCCCTGCTTTTGAGCTTACAGCACTTGAAGGAAGATCCACCTTATATCCAAACTCAAATAATTTTTTTAAAATGTTTAACCATCTCTCAAAACTGCAAATGACAGAATCACAGTTTAAATCTTTGTTACCTACTATTCCCTTTTCTCCCACTAAGCCACTCTGACAGACTGTCGGACAGAAATTGTGTTCATATCCCAAAAAAAATTACAGTATACAATTTTGTAGATGAAATTCGACCTCATTGTGCCAACAAACATGGCTCTCTTATATTCAGTTTAACAGACTTCTTCCATGCTCGCATGTATTAGACTAAATAATCCGACATCAGAGGTATTCTGTTATTAGCGTGGACTTTCTCAGCTGTCAGACTTCAGATACAGTTTTAGCTTAGCACAAAGAGCAGACAAAGAGCTCATGGGTATTGCAATGTAACCAGTAGCACTTACTAAAGCCTTATCTGTGCCTTATTCATTCAGCAACGGTTCATAATCCTATATCAGGAACCTCCCAACACACTAAGCTCTTACCTGTCTAACCAAAGAGGCCAAATACTGAACACAGGGAACTTTTAACATAGTATGTGTTGTGCCTTTTTTTCTTGCTTCAACCCTTTCCTTAAGCTCAGATTTAAACATGCTTTCATTGACAAGTGAGAACATGCCAGAATAGAAGTGGAAATCATTTTGGACTCAATATTTTAGACAATCATGCAGATGTTTTCTACTGCCGTCCCTTCTACTAATACCTCACTTTGAATGTGTCAACACAGCGCCTTCCAGCTCAAGTATCTGGGTTTCCTTGTCTGGTATTTTTCGTGCCCAAAACAGTCTCTGAAAGTGACATGGAAATGACTGAATTACAAGCAGCACTTTGGCTTAAGCAGATTTTATATTTTAGAAAAACAACAACATAAAACTCGTAGTATTAATAAAGGACAAGCCCAAAACCACCAGCACATGAGAAATAGCATTAAGGGATGCTGCAGAATATCTGATTTGATTTAATCCTGTTCAAGATCTTTTTCTTTGAGTTGTTTATGTGTTTGTTTTGTTATATTTTGCAAGAATAGTGAGCTGAAACTGCCTTTTCTATGAGTAAAATCCCTCCAGAACTTTAAGGGATATGTCAGTATATTTTGGATACTTTGTGTACAAAAAAAGAGAACAACAAAAACAGAAATGAAATAGTGTTGTATTTTATATATAATAGAACATTTCAATATAGTGACATGTCACTAATATATTTATTTACTAATATATTTATCCTTTTTGTCCAGGTTTGAAAGAGTGGTTTCTGTATAGACTGAATGTTTCTATATAGAAACTGACCAGTGTCACCACAGATGTATCAACCTGTCTTCATTCCAATTATATGCAAATAAATTATTTTGAAATAAAACCTCTGTGCTGAATGCATTATTCTGCATGAGAATCCAGAGAAACTCCCACTGTGTCGTATGAGTTGTGCTTGCATGCCAGTGTTGTTAATGGAATAGTTACCGAAACTTACTCCAAAAAGCAGCTTTCTTCAAACTTCTACCGTAAGATAACATGGTCGTTTTATTAGACCTCAGAAAAATTCAGTAAACATCCATTAGATTTCAGAGGTTCAGTCATTCACAGAACTTCAAAACAAATTCACACAACTCTAACAAATTAGATACCCAGTGCTAAAAAATGGATCACTCAAAACATAAATTTTAAGGCACAATCTAAACATTCAAATTTTTTACAATTGGTAACACATTTTTTACTTTTTCATAAGTCTTCACACAGTCGGCACAGCAGAAGTCAATATGGACTAAACTGTGGATCATGTTTCATTGGTTTGACAGATCTGTCAACATTCATGAACACAAAATTACTGTTACACCATAAAAAAGAGAAAAAAAATTCAGTGATCCATTTTCTCAGTCTCATCTAAATAGTTTTCTCTCCTGTGTTTCTGACTTGAACAAGTGAGGGAAAAAAAGGTTTTTGCAGGGTTGTTTTTTTTTTTTTGTGAAACAAACACAGACATTGCCCAGACCAGCCCCGACTGCCATCCCCTTATGCATACTGGATTATTCCCCCAAAGCGCTAGGACGCTGAATAGTAAGTGATGTGGACAGGTGGACCAGTGAAAGTTGACCAGGGTACTCACCTGCTCTACAAGCACTCTCTGGTGATCAGAGGTGGCTGTGGAGTACACAACATCCACAGGCTACATGTAAAAAACTCAGCTTGAAGTCGAATTGTTTCAAATTATTTAAGAAAATTGAAGTATACCTCACAGATGGTAATACCTGAAAATAAACATATGACAACTATGTTGCCTGTTGTTGGAAATGAAGATATTCCCCCTGTACTAGGTTAATAAATAAGCAGGCACACATCCTAGCACAGTAGAGCTACAGATGTAACATGTTATTCAGCCTTTCTACACATCTTTATCAAGGAAACCCTTAGCCTATTCATTTTAATAATATGATATGATATGACATGGACTCACTGCTTAGCTAATGCTAATGTTTTGCTAGTTTACATTATGTTAAAATAGTCAACTGAAGTTCTTACAGCATTAGGGAACTATGCTAAGCTGCAAAAACAATGCCAAATAGCTTATGCTAAGTTGTTAGGCCTTGACTGACTGAATCAGCACCAGCACTGGCTTACAGACTCACTTTATGAACCATTATGATTATGTTATTTCATTATTGTCATCGTTAAATTAATGAATCATCATCATCATGGCAATGGCACACACACTACCTCCCTGCGCCCTGCCTGAGAGTCCCTGTTTCCCTGCATGCTTCCTTCAGCTACACTCTCCTCCTGCTCACTCTGTTCCTCAGCTTCCCTTTCACATGATACTCTGCCTGACAGTGGACATGGCCAGCCACCTCTCCTCCGTCCAACTGTTGCTGCATTGTGGGGAAGTACTGCTATTGCCGTAGATGTTGAAGCTACTGCTGCAGGCCATTCACCAAACATATCAGTGATTTTTCCACATTTAGTTGTATCCTCATCTAGAGTCTTCAGGGTTTTTTTGTCCCACAACTTCTTTACACCCCGCTTCTTTCTTCTTTCAGCCTTGTGTTATTATAGAAAATAAATCAATGGGCAGCTCCCCCTGCTTTATGGGCTGGTTGTTAGCAATACATTGCTTTGTAAATTTAAAAAATTAAACATGTTTCAGCCCGAAAGTACGTCGGAAAATGGCCGTTATGACAGATTACAAGTCCACTGCTGCCAGGATCATTTTTCTAAGGTACTTTTTTTTCCACCTGCGAAAACAGATTCATGCATTTAAAACATATCAATAACCTTAATCTAGCACAATGACTGAAAACAGGAGGAGACAGCTAGCTTGGCTCTGTCCAAAGGTAACAAAGTACCTCTCCCGGCAGCTCACTCACCACTCCACACATTACATCTTGTTTGTTTAATCCTTGTTAGTTAGTATTGACCTTCTCATCTAACTCTCAGCAAGAAAGCAAATAATCATATTTCCCCAAATGACTATTCCTTTTAAAATGTGTACCCCTTTTACCCAGACACACATGCCAACCCGCCTGAACATGAGTTTTTTTTTATTTAGACATACATCATGCAATCTACAGACAACTTAAAGCATATCTGATAGCACTTGAAGCTTGTCACATAAAGATATTCAACACACTGTATATATGTTTGATATACTGTAGTTGTGGTGCGTGTTGTTGATTGCCTCTGAAATGTATCGCCAAGTGTGGTTTGGCAGCAGCAGTCAGGTGATCAGTAGAAGGCTTTGGCCTGCCCTTCGGGTGTCAGCACAGTGAGGTTGCCCCTGGCGTCTTGGTCCTTCTCAATGGCCTCAAAGAGAGACTTGAAGTTTCCTGCCCCAAAGCCCTGGAGGGAGAAAAAACACACACAGATGGCTAATTACCCAAAGATCTGCCTTCTTCTGTGTCATTTGTTATGTCTCTGGGGATCTTCTCTCAGACACCATTCAGGGTGTTAAACACTTTGATGTCGGATCACGGCGGATAAATATTCTGACAGGGTTCAAACATCCACTCCCCTCTGACAAGAGCTGTACTCACCGGGGGCTCGCAAATTAATCATGTAAATATTGACATATTAGATAATACATAGATAATCAAAAGATCAAGTGTAGGTGGTTACTCTGAGAGATTCTTTGCTGTGGTTCAGATTCAGTGTCTCACTTTCACATCTGTAGACTCAGTGAAATACTGAAGAGTGACAAGGTAAGCCTGTTCTGACAAGCAAAATGGGTGCTAGGTGTTGTAAATTAAGTGCCACAGGGTGCAACCCAATCCAAGATCCCCTCGCTGTGAAGCTATGAGCCTTTTAATCTGTATCTGCGATAGATTTACTGAGCTTTTACAAGTGGGCTACAGTTATACTGTTCACACTGGGTGGGAGCTGTAAACAGGTGTTCTGTCATGGCTTCTTAAAGGTGGTGAATGTAGGAAACAGGATCACAGGGCTGTAAATCCCATAAGAAAGACGTAAAGGCTAAAAGTTTACCCTCGGTTTTCCAGCTACACCAGCAATTTGTGCACTTACATAGTGGTTGTTCCGCTGAATGACCTCCAAGAAAAGGGTTGGTCTGTCCTGCACAGGTTTGGTGAAGATTTGAAGGAGGTAGCCCTTGTCATCAAAATCAACTAAGATTTTCAGTTCCTTAAAAGGAAAAAAAGTTTAGTTTCTATTTTAGAACACAAGCAAAAAGACTGTAAATATTCTCAGGCTTGCTGAAATAATATGCTTTCTCACCTGTAAACGGTTGAGGTCCTCCTTCACCTTGATCTTAGCGGTTTTGAGTTTCTCCCGCAGGGAGTCGTAGTAGGTGTCAGGTGCTGAGAGGAACTCCATTCCTCGGGCACGCAGGTTCACTATCTGTTAAGACAAAAACAGAACAAAAGTGGGTTCTGAAACTTGCCTTTACCTGCAGAGGCTGTGTGACGATGAAGATGAAGTATGTGGGTTAACATGAGATTTTGGCAATTATCAAACACAGGAGACTCACGGCTTGAATAATGTTAGACGTGTTGAGGGCAATATGCTGAACACCTGGTCCCCCGTTATAGTCCACATATTCCTGTGAAGAAGGAGATGCAGGACATGAAATGCACTGAGGCAAATCTCAAAATCTGACCCAGGGATCCACATATGGGAAGATTTTCATTTCGTTCACTTAGTACCAAATTGCACAACTGTTGCTCGAGCTGCTGGGGACCCACTGTAACAAAACATGAAAGGCCTGAATAGAATTTAATCCATGAGCTGATGAAGTCACACCTGGATTTGTGACTTCTTTTTCCCCATTGCAGGTTCATTGATAGGCATCTTGATGGTCTCTTCATAGTTCGTCACCACTATGGACCTCAGCGCACTGTACTGTGTGTGGATCTGCTTGTCGTCTATTGACCAGAACCGATGGAACATCAAACACTTCTGATACCTGGAATTTGGAGAGCACAAACAAAAAATGTGACAACAAGCTGAAATGAACAAGTCATACTTTATTTGGAATTGTTTGAATACATCTCCATTTTTTAAATATTTTATAGGCCAGTAATGTTGCACTGCAGCTTTTGATTAACTGCGTTAACGTTTCACCCTGCGACAGAGGTGGATTGACCGCTTGAGTATTTACTTGTCCTTTTGCCCCGTGTGTCTGCTGTGTCCTCCCTGTGTGTACGTGCGTCTAACAGGAGTCTTACCAGTCTGACACTGGCACCATTTCATCATCGGGCTGGTTTCCCACAACGTGATCAATGAAGCTCAAACCGCCTGGTGGACTTCAAAGAAAAGATGAAAACATAAAACAAACCTCTTGCAAACATAAAACACTTTTCCATTAAAGTTTAGCAAAATAATTGAGAATACCCGTTACATACAGGTAAAGCACTCATCCTCTCAATACAACAACATTTGATCAAAATGAATTTCGTAAGTAATATTGAAATCTTGAAAATGCCCTTTGTCTTGTCACATCAGGGTGCCTTTTTTTCAGTGACTATATTTGTCATATAATACTCTAGAAACTGAAGTAAAATGTCCTCCATCAATGACACTGGTAATACACAAACTTTCAAATTCAAACCATGAAATTATATATTAAGATTTATAAAGCAACCCTTTTTTAGCATGTCAAACTAGAGCCTCATTATAGTTCACTATAACTATTTTGATGAGGTATGTTGGAAATGCACAACAAGTGGCTTTTTATCAATAGAACTCTTTTCCATAAATTTGAATAGATAGTTCAGTTTAATACAAAACAGTACAAATGTATTTTGGTAACATTTTGAGCAACTCACAGTTTGGCTAACAGAGGATCCCTAAAGAGAGGCTCTTTGTAGCCTGGAAGGAAAAGGCCTTTGTAGGGGCTGAGGTACTCAATGAGTGTGTGTGTCGTATCTCCATACTGGAGAGAAAAACATGAACACAATTATTATTCATTTCCAGTTTCATGTGTGTTTTTACATGAGGCTTTCAAATGTGCGCCCCTCTTTACGTACTGTTTGGACCACAGCATACTTGACTCTCCCGTGGCTGTCCTGCTCCACCCAGGGTTCCTTCACGATTCTAGCTCCTCGCTCTTTGGCTGTCTGTCGATGGAGTGGTGTTGGGATCAGTTGGGAAATACAGGAGCATAACAACAGTTTTTCCATCTGAAGACGGCTCCTGGAAGCCCTCCAGTGGCTAAAGACAGAATATCTTTCTAGAAATGCTGTGATATACTGCTTTATTCTGTCTCTTTTCTCTTTATGTGTTGTTCTCTGTGTAACAGAGGTGGTGATTCTGTATCTTTGTAGCCACCTACAAGGTCAACAGAGAGGGTTTATCCAAACCTCCAGTCTGACCTTGACTGAGGTAAAGAGTTCATATAAGCCACTAAACATCAAAGTCACACCACCAACATGTTTGCCCCTATTTCAACACAATCAGCCAGTATTTCTTGAAATCAAAGTTCGTAGAAGTGAGTGAATTTGAATTCATTGGAACCCAAATATGTTACTTCTCTTACTTCTTCTGTCACTCTATATACTGTATATAAACACCAGTGTTGGGAGTAACGCATTACAAAAGTAATTTTTATAGAAAATAAATCAATGGTAATCAAAAGTAACTTTTTGCTGTAACGCAGTAATATAACACTCCTATAAATAAAATGGTAATATTATACCCATT